AAGAGGAATTGGAAGAGCTTTTTATGTTTTAAGAACAGGCTGACACGCAGCAGCTACAACAACAGCTGAGATCACTTAATAAATGGTGCTAAACTAGCTTGTCTCATGCTCTTGCTCTTTACGGTGCATCAAAGAAGTGGCCTTTCAGACTGACTGTCACCTTATTAAGGAATGGCACAGACTTCTCCATGGAGGGCCATCTGGGGAATGCAGCCTCATTTCCATAAGCCCATTGTAGTGTCACATGGTATTTTGTTCCAGTTCTGCTGAGGTCTGACATAATGAGGTGACATCTCGCTCTCAAAATGAGACCCCATTTTCTGGTACTTGAATTGTAGTTCCCATCTGGTCACGCTGATAACCAGAACAGAGTGATTTCGGATTCGAATTCAGCTTGAAAGTCTGTTAAGGTTGGAAAGGGGGATCCTTGGCCTTTGCTTCGCTTTGTTTGCCTTTACTTCAAAGAAATCTCTTGCTCGGAGGTAAAGCCCTGCTTCTGTCTGTGTGTGGCTGTGTGTCTGTAGTTTCCTTGCTTTGTGTTAACAGGGTTTCCTCACTGTGCCAAGCTGCCCAAGCCACAGGCTCTTTGCCAGCCTTCTCCCTTCTGTTTTCCGTTTAGAACCAAATCATCTTCCTCTTTGAGCTAGTCCTGCTTGCAAGGTTTCAAGGTTGTAGCCCTTCTCCCAGGGTTATTGTGCATCAGGATCCAGGGCGGGGCAGTGTCTTCATCCTGTAGGAGTTCGCTCCGTAGGCTGGCTGACTGTGGGACATACCGGCCCCTCGTTGCTTTGTGGCTTGGCTTGTATGCGCTGCAGCTCGGCCTTCAGGCGCCTAACCTGCATGTAGAATTCCAGCAGGCCTCATGTTACTTGAGGTCTTCTTGGGAGCTACTACCAAAACCAAAAAGGAACCGTTTTTATAGAACTTGAGGTCAGGTTGCCTAATAGCATCTTGAAGGTGGCCGTGGGGGTAATGTGGAGTTTTCCAAAGCGGCCATTCCGTTTTGGCAGCAACACCCGTGCTTACACATTGACCACCAGTCTCCATATGGCCCGGGATCTCACAGAACACACACTGGGACTAGCACTCAACATTCCGGAGGTGTTTGTGTCATTGTTTCTCTGTTTACTGCGTATCCAAAATTGGTTGAAGTACCTAGAAAATGGGAGATTTGTTGGCATATGGAAATGCCTATTCTCTATGTTTTCAGCGCTTGTCGAAGAATTACTTTCTATGGCCTTTTCCCTCTTGCCTTCCGATATTATTTACACGTATTGACCTTAATTTCAGCTGTATAAACCGGTCCAGGAGATGAGCTTGATGTCACCTTCTAGAGTAAGAGTTGATCAGAAAGCACCAAACCTACCCTGCGGCCCCTGTGATCCTTACCAAAACGTGAACCGAAATCAGAACTGTTCTGCTTTGTTCTAGTCCTTGTGGCTCTCCCACAAGTGTGGCTTGGTTGAAGCCAAGGAGCAGCAGCTGCTGGGACTTGAGAATTCAAGGGAAGTGAAGGAAGAAAGGGCCAGCAGTTGCCCTCCCCCGAGTTCTCTGGAGACGAGGGGGCTGCTGGAAATGGCAAGGGGCATTTTTTTAGGAGTAGCTTAGGTTTCTCAGTCAGGTTTCTCCACCTTGCTATGTTTCAGTCCAGTTTTCAGTGTCCTTTTTCAACTGTTTGGTTTTTCCAGCCTTCCCCTATTCACCCTGCTCGTGGCCTCTTCCTGCCGCCCTCTTAGGTGAGCTGAGGCAAACGCTGATGCGCACAGTGCGTGGTGAGCTGCTTCGCTGCAGAGGGGACGCCTGCCTGCCGCTTCCTATCCCTGTTCACTGCCAGTAGTTTGCCCCCGAAGGGTGAGCAGGTCCCATTGAGAAATGGGGAACCTGTTAAGTTGGGCGTTAGCTCAGGTGCATGGCTCCTTTTAATGAGACCAGTCATAGCTGAGCTTTCATAGGTTTGGGTACTTGCGGACGTCAAGTAACTAACTGTATCCTCTTTTGAGGAGAAGTCTCATAATGCAGCCAGACTTGCAACCACCAGGGGACCACCAGGATAAAACTTGGCACAGAGCCACATAAAGCAGCAGTGTCTTTTGTGAGGAAATTCCTCTTTGGAATAGTCCCATTGAGTTCCTTTGTGCGTCTGGCCTGGAACGGAAAAGGGGAAGACAGGGCCAGCTTCACTGAGTGGGCCACAGTACTGGGGAGTCTGACCAGACCCCTCTGCAGAGGAAGTTGAGGGTAGGTGACTTCTCTTTATTACTTTATTCCAGAAGAGAGATGGGTCAAACCTGGGGACTTTGCTTTACCACGTCTAGATACCATTGTATGTAGACATTGACGTTTGTAGGCAAGAACCAACCAGCCCTTCCTCTGACGTGGCTAAATCATGGGGTCGTAGCCTGGTGGCACCAGGTCACACCAGCATAATTGCTGGCCTGGCTTTGCGTCTAGGAGATGTTCCCCCATACTGATGCTCAAAGCCAAGAAAGCCCAGGCTAGCGGAGGCGGAGCATGTCCATGAGTATTGAGGGCCAGCTGCATGCGAGGCTGTGAACCAGGCTTTGAGTGGAGTGGAGGCAAGTACAGTTACAGAGAAATGAGATCTCGGCTCTCAGAATTTGCTTTCTGGTAAGCGAGCTGGGACAAGAGTGGTCTTTAAAAGACTCACTTTGTCATTTGAAGCTGTTCAGAATCCCCTGTAGACTCTGCTAATCTCAGAGAAATTTTTTTTTTTTTTAAAGAAACCATTCATTCATTGGACACTTGTAACATTTAACTTGTTCTTTCTTTACCTTTAAAAGAAGCAATTTTTAATATTACCTAGTATGCATAGGATGTCAGATGGAGAATAGTTAGAATATGCGCACTTAGCTGTAGGTGGTTGACTTGCCTCTTAGCCAAGCGTTGGCCTACATAAGTGTGATTGTTCCAGTGACTGTGGCCAACTGTTTGGTGTCCGCTGAGTCCGTGTAAGGCAATTACTAGACCCAGCCTCTTCATGTGGAGGTTTAGCACCTGAAGAAGATACCTCTGAAGAAAACGGGAGGGCGGTTTCATACTGTAATGGATTAGAGGGAACTCTGAAATCTGTAATTCTGCAGGTTCTTAACACTGAGAACTGTTCTCTTTGGACTAGCATAGGCCTTTCTGGAAACAAAAGGATAAATGAGATGAAGCTTCAACACAGCCACGTAATTTGTTGATGCCTAAGTTGCTTAAAATAGGATTGAAATCTCACTATTAGAAGGAAAGAGGGGTTTCCTAGGTCGCTGCCCAAACATCGGATTTGCTTTACCCTTAATCTTCATGTGGAAGGAAGAATGAAATAGCCTTCTGATCTCACTCGTGGACTCAGGACGTTCATCGCATCAGCATCTCCAGAAAGGGCTGTGGAACAGATGTCTTGCTGTGGAGACTGAGTTTGTGAATTGACAAAGACTGGCACGCTTGATCAGCGGTCTTACGTATTTCTTCAATCGTTAGCGTGTATTAGTAGCTTTGGTAATACTCTCTAAAGACACCATTACCTGCAGATCAACCTCTTGTTCTAAGAGATCATTCACTTATAATTGCTCCTGTTCAAAAGGAAAAAAAAACTAATGAAACTGGTATAAGTATTACCTGCAAGAAGGAATTTGTTGTACCAGGTCTCTATATTTAAATCCCTCCCTACTTAAAACCTACCTGTAGAAGGCCTGGTAATGAAGTATATTCTATTGGCCATAATATCACACCTGTAGTGAGTGACACATGTGTTGTCACCCAAGATACTGTCATTCCTTTAAACTGAGAATGGAGTAATTGCCAGTAAGGAATTTTAGATTTACAAGCATTGAATTACCCATTATATAATATATATAAGTTCCCAAGGAATTTACCAGGTAGTCTGTCCCTAATAGAGCTGAAAAGTGGCTGGGGCCGAAAGGTAGGACATCAGCTTCTTTGAGGAAACTTGAAGTGGTTTAGGGCTTCAAGGACACATGAGGGATCTGGTTTTCTCCTGGTT